AAAAGCCTCCCTTGTGCTTCCTGCTGCCAGTGTGGGTGGGACTGTCGCTGCTTGCTGTTGCTGTGAGCTGTTACACCTGCCGTGTGCTCCGCCCCAGCAGAGGCTGCATTTCTGGGGCCAGCGGAGTAGGGAGTCTTATCTATGCAGACTGCAGGCAACTGGCACGTGCTCAGAGACTTGGCACAGGCCTGGGCTGCTGCCCCACAGCGTCGCTTGTTGGCCTTCCAGGTGCCCTCGGGGCCTCTCTTAGGGCGGACAGGCTGCGAGGTCACCCACAATCCCAGCGTTGTCTGCAGCAAAAGTCTTGTCTGCTCCTGCTTCGTATTTGCAGGCCAGAAAGTCACCAGGTCTGGGCTACGTTCACAGCTCTCTGGCCCTCCCCCCTGTGACCTCGCGGCAAGTCACGTTGCTTTCCTGTGCCTTGGTTTCCCCAGCTGGAAAATGGGAATCTTCCCCACCCGCTGGGGGTTGTCAGTTAATGTCTGTGAAACACTGAGATCCTTTGCAGGGAGGACTGTGCTGGGCTCGCGTCGTCGCTGCTTTCATCGCTGACACCGTTAACTGCTCCCGGGGCGGCCGCGGCTTCTGGCCCCGCAGAGCTGCCTCGTGCAGGACTGCTGGCTCCTTGCCGGTGTGGGCGGGGAAGTGGCAGCCCCAGGCGGGGGCCTGGTGGGGCTGGAGCAGCCCTCCGCCCGCGGCAGGCCCTGGTGAACCATGACTTGGCAAGCATCCCCCAGTACGGGTACGTGTTGTGCTTACCGGCTCACCGTCAACATCCCATTTGTTAGGTGCACAACAAAATTCATTCCGCACATGGACCGGTGTGATGGTGAGTTGGGGGTTCCCCCCAACCCTGCCCTCCACAGCGACATGAACAGACTCCACCAGCCAGTAGATCAGAGGGAGTTTATTGTTCCTTCAGGGTACAGCCCGGCACAGATGGCATCTGGCTACAGGAATTAGGGCGAGGACGCCTCAGGCCCCCTCCAACCCCAGCCCCCTCCTCAGTCTCTCTCCTTCAAGCTTAGCCTGTCCTCTCCCTGCTTCCCCCGCCAGCCACCACCCTTCACCAGAACCCTGCTGGTCTCCGTCCCTCCTGCCTTTGTCTCTCCCTGAGCCTGGGCGTCTGGGTTAATCCGCATTTGGAGGCGTCAGTGGCAGGGGCAGCCCGTCCATAGAGGCGAGCAAGGCGGTCGCCCAGGGCGCCAAATGGTGGCGCAATCTCATTGAGGAGGCGGGGGTGCCGATTGCACGCTGCGCCCAGGGCGCCAGGTGCTGGCAGCTGGTCTGGGGCCGCCCCGGTCCGTGGGAATCACATCACGGCTCCCCCCCCCCCGCGGTCACGAACCGCCCCCCCCCCCCCCCCCGCTATGCCACAACAGAGACGTTCGAGGGAACGCTGCCTGGCCTGTCTGCCCAGCTCCTGGCCTCCCCTGCCGTGCTGCGTGCAGGGCAAGGCTCCCAGGACCAGCCCTATGGCAAGAAGAACGCCCCGGCCCATGCTGGGCTTTAAACCTGGCTCCTTCGATGGAGCCGTTCCCTTGGGGAAAGCGCCACAGCCGGCCGACTGCAGCCCAGGGCTGGCCTGGGAGCAGGCAAGAAGCAGCTCGCAGCCCACTCCGCCCTGCTGCTGCTGAGGAATTGAAGGCCAGGCCGATTCCAGCCCAATGCAAGCGGCCGGTGCCGCACACGTCGGCCTGCCGGAAATCCCATCGCCCCTTTGCAGATCCTCGGTTGCATGGGACGGTCCGGCTCCGCTGCGTCTCCTGCTCTCTCTCCTCAAGCCCTGCCCCAGGCTGACGCCCACGGTGCCCACCACGGGCCTGGAGCTGCTCTTGCCGTGGGCCACACCCAAGCAGCGGGGCTGGCCCGGTGCACAGAACGACGTCCCTGGGGAGCCAGGTGTCCAGTTCTGAGCCGCACAGTCCGGTATTGGAGCTTTCTGTTCACATTGAGAAAACAGCAACGCCAAGAGAGAACTGTCCGGTATTTTCCCAACCAGGCGGAGTGGCGATGGGGATGTCAGGGCAAGGGTGGCCGGTATGTTTGTTGAAACCATCCGGCAACCTTCGGCGCCACGGGAATGTTGCGGCTGCTGGCGAGGCCAGTGCCCGGGAACCGCGGCGCCAGGGTTTAGTGCTCGGCGTTCCCACCCCGGGACTCCCGGCGCCCTTGGTGGCCCACTGGCTAACTCGCCCAGCCAGCGAGGGTGTGGAGCGGAGCTGGGAGCAGCGTTGGTCTCCCGCAGCGGCTCCTCCAGGCCTCAGTGCTGCGGCTGAGGGAGGGGGATTAAAGCCAGGAGGGGGAGGGAAATGACCTGGCCATCGGGGGCTGTGTAGGGCCAAGGGGTGCGAGAAACTCCGCGCCAGGCAGGACGGAGGATGGGGAGGGCTGGATGCGGCTGGCTACGGCACTGCAGTATCTCCAGCGCCTGGGCCAGCCGCCTCCACGGGCTGGGCGAGTCTGCAGTGGCACCTAGTGGAGGAAGCGCGGGATGGCAGCGTATTGGGGGCACCCAAGGACCTGCGACCGGCGGGCCTGACGGCTCCCGTGGCAGGGTCCCCGAGCAGTTACCCTGCGGCGCTTAGGCTACGGCAGACTCCCTCTCGCCGCCTGGCCCGGCCCCGTGTCTCCCGGCCTGGGCGATCCCAAGGAACCCGACGGTGCGCGCTCAGCAGGGAGGAGCGGGGCAGCGCGTCGACAAGCTGCCCCCTCCGGGAAAATAGCTCCCCCGCCCACGCGCCCGCCGGGCCAGTCGCCTGAAAGAGAACGCGGGGAGAATCCCTTGGGGCGCGTCGCAGCTCCGGGGCACGTGCCCGCCTGGCCCAGTGGCCTGTAGGTCTCAGGCACTCACAACCCGACCCGCGGGCGGAGCCGTTTGCACACGATGGAACCCTCGCCGCAGCCCGTTTTCACCACGCAGACAGCGGCGCGCCTGAGCCCCTCGTGCCCGCTGGCGGCCAGGAGGAAACGGACCCCGAACGCCCCTCGGCGCAGGTTCCTGATTTAAGGCCGCTCGGTTTCTCTCTCTCCTGGACAAGCAGCTTCCGAACAACCGTGGCGGCCTCAGGTTATTGGGTTTGGGGGTTTTAAGCCTGGAATTGCAGCCGGCAGAACGAATGACCCCCTTGTTCGGGGGTGGGCAAAAGCGCCTCCCTGGGCCAACTCTGGCCCGCCACGGGGGTTGATCCGGCCCACGGACGCCCTGCCACGCCCCGCCCCGGGCCAAGCAGGGCCTGGGGACAGGAGCGCGCCAAGTCTCCTTGCCCGCCAGGGGCGCACGGTGCTTTGTCAGCCACCAGATGAGCAGCTGCGGGTGGACTCTAAGCGCCACGCACCCCTTGCAGGGCGGGGGCAGGAGCCTTCGCGCATTTCCCCCCCCCCCGGGCCCTGGGGGGCTTTGGGGGCCCCGGGGTCGTGCAA